CTTCCAGGATTATTTTTTTTATAATTCGTCAGGAGGTTTTGGGAGTGGGGGAAACAGCCCATGTGCTATAGTGGTTAAGGTGGTTGGTTAAGGTCATTCAGCCACAGAAACTCATTGTGTGACTCTCAGCCACTCACTCCCTCCTACCTGAAAGCATTCTTGTTCTGTGGAAAAATTGGAAGAAATATTATGTAGCTCACCTTAAGCATCCAGAGGAAAGGTGGGATATAAGGGAGGGAGGGAGGGAGGGAGAGTTTTCTAGGAGTAAGCCCTACTGGACTCAAGAGAATCTTATTTCTGAGTCTTTCAGAATCTTATTTCTGAATTATGCTGAATTGGCTTGCTAGTCCATGAGACACTTGACAGTACAAGCTTATACTATGACAGGCTACTATATAGATAGAAATAGAATAATATCTCTATCGTTATGAATAAATATAAATGGCATGATATAAATCTAATATCTGGCCCAGCACATCGTTCTTCATATATGCTGGTCTACACCTCTCAGCATCTGTATTGAGCATGCTGATAGGAAATTCTGGGAACTGAAATCCAAATATCTGGGAGAACCAGCTTGGGAAAATGATGTGTGGGAATTCTAGGAATATATTTATTTAAATCAGTTCTGTCCCACTCATTTTCTATGGAATTCTAATGGTAGTTGTTGCATCTGAAGGCTACTGTAACTCATTGCTGCTTTTTCTGCTTTTACTGAGTAGGTAGGTAAGATGGCTCTGATATCTCCAGTTAAGGAACCTTCACATGCAATCCTTTTACATGTAGATTCAGAAATAAGTTTCACTGAGTTCCGTGGGATTTAATCTCAGGCTACAAATTGTTCAGGACTGCAGCCTTTGGTTGTAAAGTTTTGTTTTATATTACCATGGTAAAAATACTGAGAAGTTTAAAAAACCCTAATCAGCCAAGGCAGCATAATTTCATTTCCATTAAATTTTAATAATTTAATGGAAGTTTCAGTAGTATCCTATGCAGGTGGGTTCAAAAGTAAAACTCACTGAATTCTCTAACACAGCTTTTAGATCTTAATACCAGAGATACAGTACATACATGAAATAAGTTCCATTAAATAAAGTAGAATGGTGAATTTTGGATTTATTTGGTGTTTTTTTTTCATTTTTCCAACTTGTAAATTTATTGGAACCAGTGTAATGTAGTGGTTAAGGCATTGGAGGAAGAGTGGGGAGACCTGGGTTCAAGGCCACCCTCAGCCATGGATGCAGCTTGTTTTTCATTATGCTGTTTCAAGTAGTCTATGCCATTCTGACGTTGTCTTTTATGTAAAAATCCACATGGGTCTTCATGAATAAATTCTTGCAGAGTTATTTTCAATCTTCTGCTAAAATTGTCGCAAACAACTTATAATCATTATTCAATAATGATACTGGTCTATACTTCTTGTTAAAGTTAAATCTTGCCCCTCATTAGGTATTAGCATTATATTAGCCTATTTCCAAGTCTCTGGCATCCTTCCTTCCTGTGGTATAGAATTCATTGTATTTTGGAGGGGTTGTAGAAGTTCATCCTCAAAACATTTGTAATAAGAACCTGGTCATCCATCTGGTCCAGGTACTTTTCCTGGTTTAATCTCTTTTATAGCTTCAGAAACTTCCCTTACTGTTATAGGTCCATTCATAATCTGACTTTGGTTCTCTCTAAGTCTTGGCAAGTTTTGTTTTTTTAAGGATTCATTTATTTTTTTGAAAGAAATATCATGCCATTTATACAAGTTATAATAATGCTGATAAAACATTTTTTGTATAGCCACATTACCGGTTAATACAGTAGCTCCCTCTTGAAGTTTCAAAATCAATTTCTTTTCTTTCTCTTTTTTTAATTTATATGCTAACTATTTCCCTGGTTTGTTTGCAAATTCAAAATTCTTGTACTTTGCATAGTTCATCTTTATTTCCATTTCTCTTACTGTTAACATAGATAACTGTTGCTGTAAAAGTTTAATTTGATGTGAAATGCTTGTCTTTTCCATTTCTCTTACTGTTAACATAGATAACTGTTGCTGTAAAAGTTTAATTTGATGTGAAATGCTTGTCTTTTCCATTTCTCTTACTGTTAACATAGATAACTGTTGCTGTAAAAGTTTAATTTGATGTGAAATGCTTGTCTTTTCTGGTGATTTCTTTCATTCTCTTCTTTTCTTTTTATCTCATTGAAAATAGCCTGTATTTTCTCTTAAGTCTTTTTTTTTTAAGTTCAGTATTATGTTGTATGAAGTAACCTCTAATGAAAGCTTAATTGTATCCCAAACTATTTTTAAGTCAGTTCTTTTATTAAGTTATTAAAAAAAAAAACTAATTTCTCTTTGCAATCCTCTGCTATTGGCTTTTTTTGTAATAATGTTTCATTTAATCTCCATCTAAAGGAGGTAGATTTCTTTTTAGAAATCAAACTCACAGGATTATGATCAGAGAAAGTCTTTGGTAGAATTTCAACTTTAGAGATCTCAGTAGCCAATTTTTTTGAAGTCCAAATCATATCTATTTTTTTAAAAGTTCTATGTCTTTCTGAAAAATAAGTATATTCTCTAAAGTTGCCTTTTTTCTGTCTCCATACATCCACTAGGGCTAAGTTATCCATCAAATCAAAAACATTCTTTGGTAATTTACCTTTAGTAATTTTAATATTTTTCTCTGATGTTCTATCTAATTGTGGAGAAATCACTTCATTCCAATCTCCCATCAAACACCAATTTTGATAGGAAAAGCTTTCAGTCACTTCATAAGTAATTTATAAAAAGTTCCTGTATCCTCATTTGAGGCATAAATTCTCAATACCATAGTTTTAGCCCCTTGTAATTCAACTTCCACCCCAACAAATCTACCATGTTCAACTAAAGTTCTGGCTTTAGTTGGGGGTTAATATGTATATAAAACAACTCTATTTATTTATTTATTTTTAGGTCCAGCTGATACAAATTCTTCACTCAAATTTTTGCAAGTCAGATATTTTATGCCCTTTTTTTCTAATATGAATCTCTTATAAGCAAATTATATCTTGCTTTAATTTTTTTAAGTAGTGAAAGAGTTTTTTTTCTTTTTTGAGCAGCATTTGCTCCATTTATATTCCACGTTAAACATTTATAATCTATATTTAGGCCAGTAATTTAGAAAAGTCAATGTCTGTAGCACCTAATTTAGAATCATCTTTTTCAGAATCCTTTTGTATCTGTTGTAATTTTGGAGCAGTTTTCAATACAGCCTCCATTTGAACCTCTTCCAATTCTCCTTTAAATTTTTTTCCAAAAATTCACTAATCTTTTGAACAGAGTTCAGTCAAAATCTTTGCTGTTTAAAAATAAAAATCACACCTTCTAATTTGTCCCAATGAAATGAAATCTTTTTCTGCTTCAGTATCTCAGTCAAAAAGGAATATTATTTTCTCTTATGTAAAATTCTAATAGGAATTTCTTTTAAAATAATTATATCTGCATTATCGATCTTGTATTGAAGTGCTGTTGCAAAACTTGATCCCTTGTTTTTTCCTCACAAAATGCACCAAAACATCTCTTAGAACATTTCTAATTCTTGCAAAATGTGAATTTATTTGATATACCTTATCAGTCTCTAGCTCAGTGTCCTCCTCTTCCCAGTTTAAAAAACTGGTCAATGTTTGTATAATTTTTCCTCTAATATCTTCATCAGAGCTCTGGAATAGCTCTAAATCTCAAACAGAATTCCTTCTCTCTGAGTTCTAGTAAAGGCACATTATCCATCTCGCTCTCCATTTCTCTATTTCTAACTTCTGATTTACTCTCTAAAATTTCCATCTTATCATTGACTTGTTTTATATCTCCAGACATTTGTTTTACGCATTTTCCATCTTGTCAAGCCTTTCATCTACCTTTTTTTCAAAGGCTGTAAATTTGGCTTCAAGTGACGGAGCCAATTTAGTTCCCAATTCATCAAACATTGACTGAAGTAAGCTTAAAGGAATTGTTTTATCTTCTTTATATTCTTTCTCTAATGGCTCTTCTGAGGAACCTCTTCTAGCCTCCAGTCTTGCCGTCTTGTGTGTCGTCATTATTAGGAAATGAAAGGGTTAAACAGCAGAGAAGATAAACACAAACTTCACTCCCTCTAGTGTCTTTATAGGTGTAATTTCTGCAGTGGGTCAGATCATTGTTTCCGTGGTTACAACAAGTATTCAGTCTTGGGTTACCTTAATCTTTTGTTTTGTAAATCCAGCCAATTACCGCAGTCTTTAATGCAAAGCAAACAGCCTTCCCACGGAAGATCTGAATCGATTGTTTTCATTCAGTTAGGATGTTTACAATGCAGTTTCATAGAAAGATTAATTTTTTTAAAAAAAATAACCTTCCCCTTTATCCGTTTTTAACTTTCTTTCTTTTATCATTCTTTATTAAGCTTTTTGACCAATATTCCTTATACTTTAAGTATATGAAAATCACCAAGAGAAGTACTTATCTGTTGTAAAAGAAAATCTCTTTCAGGCTGAAGAATAGTTACAGCCAAATGTGGTTAAGAAGTGAGGATTAGTCAGTTCTTGTGTTCATGCTGGCTGCACCACAGCCATGAATGTAGATAGAATCCCACGCCTCCCAGCCGCTCAACTTCCAAGCAAAGTGCAAAAGCTTCCGTTTTTGCAGGTATCTAGCAAGGAGCAGCCAACCAAAGATCAGATTGGTTGATTTCATGTTTCCTCCTTTATCCGAAGGAAGTTCAGCATCCAGTGCTGGGTTCTGGGCACTGACCTCTACTATGATGCTGTCGCCACTCCTTGAAGACGAGCTAAACCACCATTAATCCCTATCGGAAGTCCAGTTTTTCACCCATCCCTCATTTGCGGTAAACATACAGTATATAGGATCGTAACAACATGTTCTTGCTTTTGTCACTTCAGGTTTTTCTTTTATAAAGCACTTTGATTCCTTATCTGCTTTTTGAATGCAGCCAGAGGTCGAAAAACAGGCAAAAATAATGTTACCTTTTTAATTTCTGCAGGACGAATACAAACCAGAGAAAGCTTTATCGGAGGATGACCTTAAAAATGCCGTCAGTGTGCACCATGCACTAGCATCGAAGGCAACCGACTACGAGAAGAAGCCAAATGTCCTGAAGCTGAAGACAGCTGACTGGAGAGTTTTGCTTTTTCAAGCTCAGTAGGTTCCAGTTTGGTTCCTTTCATGGTGTGATTCATCCAAAAAATAATCTTATGGGACATTGGGTTTCTCTCCAAAGACTTGTTTCAAATTTTATTTTTTCCCCTCTATTTTTCTGAACTATTTTTTCAGTTCTGAGTATAAATTTTAACAAAAGGACTACAGTCTCCATAAGCAAATACTGAAGCTATTTCGGGTCCACCCTTGGCCTGTAAAACTGTGTGCAGCTTGCTAGAGGTTTCTGTTCCCAAACAGGCAACCAAAGCAGCAGAATTATTCGGTAGTTGCAATGCTGTCTTGGCCTTAAATCTGTGATACAAGTCTGCCATAATACTCTATAAGGGTGGGGAAGAAAAAGCATATCTTAGCATATGTGGTAATATATAATATGTAGCTTTTAAGCCTACCTTAACAATCAAAGTCAAGGTCAGGATACACTGCTCAAAGTAATATTTTAAAAAATGGATCCTGTTAATAATTTAAACTTTAGAGAAAGAAGCTACAAAAGATACTTGCATGTGGCTTTTTTAACTGCTGCAATGCAGATAATTTTTATATTCTGGAGAACAGGGGTTTAAACTTAAGTGAAAGCTATAGGGGTGTATTTTGCAGATCATTGCATCAGAATATTTGGAGAAGGCTGCTCTAGACCCTTATCTGTCTGACTAGATGAGGAAATAGAAATGTAAATAATAAAGTTAAGATTGAATTTTGGTTTAGGGACTAATTATAAAATTTAAATTGTCATAATGGTTACCTCTGGTAGGAAAGAAGACAGGGAGTGTTAATTTCCCTAGATCTCTTAAGTGGACTTTGATGTCATTAACTAGAAGCCTAGGTTTGGGGATATCAGGCTCTCAGTGCACTGCAGGGATGATTCCTGAAGAGACCCTGATTGCCATGGCCCCTCACTTCACTTCAGAGTGTCTGCAGGATATGGTAAAAAAAAGTAAAAATGGCAGCTGCAATGGTGTGATCAAAGCTCTGTCTGCACACATGAAAAACAGGTAGAGCTTTGATCACAACTTGATGGCCACCATCTTTATATTTTTTACCATACCCTGCAGACACCCTGCCTCCTTGGTTGACTTACACTTAAGATTGTTACTGTCTTCTGAAGCTTAACAGAAAGATGCTCATTGCAGGTAGTCCTCATTTAGCGATTGTTTGCAATTATTATAGTGATGAAAAAATAACTTTGCAACCAGTCCTCATATTTATGACCTTCGCAGGTCTGTAAAGCAAAGGGAAAGCTGAAGTAAGATCATAAAACTGTGGCGTTCCACTTAGCAACTGCTTCACTTAATGACCAAGTTGCCAGTCCCAATTGTGGTCACTAAACGAGGACTGCTTATTACACAAGGAAAAGATTGTTGAACAAACAGTCAAGAGATGGAAGTGAGACAGGAAAAAGATGGAGATGAAACATGGATGGATGGAATTTTCCTAAATGGGGCTTATGCTCACTGACAAATCCTGAGTTGCTGCAGGAGAAACCTATTCTGATGCAGGAATAAATAAAGGTGGCCTAAAGTAGCAGTTCTTATTATGCAAACACAGATACTGAAGAGAACGTGCAAGCATTATGCACAAGGCCAGACTCACTCACTCTCTATCTTCCACAGGAGCCCTGAAGAAATGGAGTCTTGGATCAATAAGATCAACTCTGTGGCAGCCGTTTTTTCTGCCCCACCATTTCCAGCTGCTATTGGATCCCAGAAGAAATTTAGCCGCCCTCTCTTACCTGCCTCCACCACCAAATTATCTCAGGTGATTGTTTTCTCTGTTTTTCCCTCTCCTTACAGCTGGGAGAAACAGGGCTTCCAGTATTAGTGTTCCTTGCAATCATTCTCAAATAATTTTACACATTTGGGCACTTGATTCATTTGTCATGATACCAAAGGCGGTTTGGTGGCGGGCTGCATGATTTCCAAGTCAGCTGTTTTGTTAAGGGAATTACGGTTTGCATGTTGGGAAAAGGAAGAGATGGGGAGCAGAAGGACCTGAATTGCTTTTACCTAAAGGGCAAGAAGCAAAAACGCTAGGCTTTCAAAGGAGATAAAGCCGAGACCTGTCTCCTTTTACCTATCAGTTGCCCAACTTGCCAGTAGGCTCCTACTGATCCTGCAGAGCATGATGTGTGAAAGATCAGTCCTGACTGCCCTTTCCAGTGATTTTGCAAGATGCAGAAACCAGATGCATCAGCTGATAGGCTTCTTCACAGCAGGCCCTGTTTCAGCTCCCAAATAAGGCCCATAAGAAATGGGACCTTAAGAAAAGAAGAGAAGGAAGGAAGAGTGAACTGCAAGGCCATGCAGAGATGGCAGCCTCTTCACCTCCTTCCTGCATATGAATGTCTCAGTTAAACAAATCCATCCCCTTGCTGTTGCCAAAGACGTTGCTTGCTGCAGCAACAGAAGTGAGAGCAAACCGCAAGATTGTTTGCTGCTGGATTTTGGCAGTGCAGTCTGAGCATGCCCTGGTGACTGCCAAATGAAGGCTGAGAACCCCTGGTTCCTGACTCCTGCAGTCATGATTCCATCCAACACCGTATTTCCCAGTCTCCCAAATTCTCACTGCACCTCTCAGCTTGTCTGCATCTTCCTCCTCTTCCTTTCTTGCATGTCATTTCCTTCTTTCCGTGGTTCCTACGATCATAGCTTTTTACTGCATTGGAGCTGGAGAAGCTCTAGTAAGTGCTCTCCAGGAATTGCTGATGCACCTAAGACACATTAAACATTTATTACAAGGGCTTTTGTGCCATTTCAGTCAAGTGAATCTAAGTATCTTACAAGAAAAACAAAACTATAACATATAATCAATATAGATAATATCGTAAGATAAATTAACTATAATTCAGTCACCCATAAGCTATAAACGTCTCTGAAGTCTCCCTCCACGTGATAATGGATTTAAGTGAAGTGATATTCATGTGAATCAGGCTCAAATAATTTTACGCATTTGGACACTTGATTCATTTGTCATGATACAAAAGGCAGTTTGATGGTGAGCTACTTGATTTCCAAGTGAGCTGTGAACATAGCTGTTGTTTCTCAAGTTGGCAGAATGTTGAAATCATCAACACCAGCATCAGCCAATAGAGTGGTCTCTCCTTTGACCCATGAGTACATGTGAAGTACAGATCTAGGTCAAGGTGTAGATAGGTCTTGCCCGGGTTGTTTAGAAAATCCTTGTTTGGCAATGTCTTTTAATATCTGAATTGCTGGTTTAGGAACCAGGAATATTTGAGTTCCTGATGTAGAAACTGAACACTCCTAAAGCAATAGAAGTGCTTTTTATTACTTTCCTAAATACACTAGAGGTTCATTCTAACCCATGTAATTGCTTCTGCAGGATGATCAGCTAAAATCTCACGAGAGCAAACTGAAGCAGATCTCTACTGAACTAGCTGAGCATCGTTCCTACCCACCTGATAAGAAACTGAAAGGCAAGGAGGTGGAAGACTATAAGTTGAAAGATCATTATTTGGAATTTGAGGTATGTTGTAGTCTGCTAAGGCTGGGCATTGTTTTAAAGATAGTCATTGTAGAGATCATAGAACTTCAGCAAATGAGTAGTGAGAGTTTAATCACCGATTCAAAGAAAAAGTGCAAAAATTGTGTATGATGTAGATTAGATTGAGAGAGAATAATTTATCACAGTAGCCAAGCCCAAATCAGACAGAATGCATTATGTCTTATCATACTGTGTGAACAAGGCCTTTGTGTTAAGTCATAATGTAGTTGGTTGATTAATTTCCGCTTAATATGATGTGGGAACACATTGTGATTTGTTACCTATAATTTCCAGTTTTATGCATATAGAGGCCCCAAATTTATCCAGTGTTTTCATGGCTAGATACTGTAGGGACCTGCACATATCTCTTTGCTCTAGTTCCTTGACTGAACCTCTGTGGCTATAGCGATAGTGATTTTCCATGAAAATAAGGACAATAAGCATGAAGCATCTCTTTCCTGTTCTTACTCTGTACGGAAAGCTAAGGTTCACAGGAAGTGCAGAGTTTAAAATGGTAACCCACCTCTTCAGGTTTTAAGGACAGACAGTAGAAAAGTACTCTGCATTGACAGCTCAGCTTTGGCTGGCTGGTTAGAATTTCTGGAAATTCTGACCATGACACATAGGGAAGACTGGCAGGCATGGAAACTCTGCCCTCTTCAAGGATTTGTTTCTTGGAAGAATTTGTATCTCCTTGAAGTTTTTAACTCCTATAATTAAACTGGACAGAACAGTGCTGAATGTATTAATCAAAAAGGTCTGAATGAGGGAGAAATATCATGTTGATGTAAGACATAAATGTAGGATGGTGGACCAGATGTATGTTTGCTCTGTTTGAGCCAGGCCGTTGTTAGTCTTTGAAGGAGCAGTCCAGAATAATTTGGGGGGGGGGTGTTTTCTATGTAACTGTTGCCTTTTTAGTTCTGCTTCTCTGTCTTGACTTGGTATTGGCATTGCCTACATTCTTTATAGGATTAATCTGTACAGGTAGCTCCTGTAACATCTTACTCACTTGAATTACCAGGAACAACCTGCATGCGACTAGGGATGGGACAACAGGAGTGGGTGGCATACCTGGATGGCAGCAAGAGTTCCTACAAGCCTGACTACTATAGGGAGTACAGTCTAGGTTCTGGAGTTGAACTAAATTATAGGCAGTGCTATGCCATACTTTTCTAG